GCAATTCCGGCGCAAGCCTTACCCAGATGGTAGCCATTTCGGCAGGCTACGCAGCTTGAGAACCTCCCGTCAGATTGCAGGAGTCGAGAGCACTTAATACAATCCATGACAATGATCACAGAACGTTGCAGGAGCTCGTAAAAAAGAAACGACACCAGTAAGCAAAAATACACTGTACACTGTGCAGTCGGCGGCGGGGAGCAAAGCAAGGTGACAAAATGGCCTTATTTCTCACCGGTACGGAATGCAGTGATTAACGCCCGGCAAAGTTTCGACGCCGACTGCGAGGGACGAGGCGGTGGGAGCTCCTTTTATAGCCCGTGACGATCTGGTAGCCAATCCGACGAAGCCACGTTGCTCTCTCTTGCGGTGGCAACCGCAGTGTCACGATCGCCCGTCTGTACGCCACGTAGTAGCTCAATACGCGAAGGATGCTGTTGGTGCGCGGGCCATGATGATTGTGCGAGGTGCTTGAAGATGGTCCTTGTGCTCCCGAGTGCCTGTACAGAATGCAGTGATTAACGCCCGGCAAACTTTCGCCGCCGACTAATAATAATAATAATATTAATAATGTTTTATTCAATTCACAAATAGATATAAATAATGCTGGCCTACAAAAGCAATATTCTGCTTGTGCGTAGGACCAGACAATCCAACGAAATACATATCAATGCAGCATGATAAAAAAAATTGAACGAGTGTGTAATGTGGCCATCAATCTCAACATTATTACAAAACAGAGCCCAAATTTGGCACAAAACAAAATGAACACAACTATTTAAATCATTATGAGGCAAGTATACAGGGATGAGAGGAAAGCAGTGTTTAAGCAGGTAATGAGAGGCACTAATTTTGTTTTTCTTTTTTAGTACTTTTATCGAATTAATTTTCATTAACGGCTGAGTGAGCTCATTAAATAAAGTGGGAATAAAGTGATTTCTGCACCTTTTACCGTATCGCGTGCAAATTCTGTGGATTTTAAACCTTTCTTTACGCCTTAGATTCATAGGCCTGTCCAGTGGAACCTTGAACGTAGAATCATAGAAATAATTTATAAGCGTAACATTTCTATGAAAACAAAACTAAAAAAATAGTGCTTCTTTGCTTTATCTTCTATATCTAATGTTCCGTACGGAGTTCCGTATGTAATGTTTTTCACCACATGTTTTAAAATTCTGTCAATTGCATTTGTCTTGTATGGAGAACAGTGCCCATATGAAGTGATTGCATATCGTTGAAAAGACTCAGATAACGACCTGTACACCAGTAATCTTATCTTTACGCTGCACAAGCTTTTTATTTTGTACAAATATGCTGAAACGGCACGTAGTCTTTTAGTCACGCATTTCACATGTTGATTCCATGATAAATGTTCGTCCACATATAATCCTAGATATTTTACACAATTATCGTATGGCAAAGGTTTACAAGTACAATTATCATACGGTGTCGAATGAAGTAAAATTCTAGGTGACATAGCAACACGTTTATGAGAATTTCAGAAACACAGTAACTTAGTTTTGGCAAAATTTACTGAAATGGCATGTGAGTTAAACCAACTTATTAGTGCATCTATATCTCTTTGGAAGACTAAAACAGCATCATCATAGTTTTCATAGGTTAAAACTAGCATTGTATCGTCAACATACTGAAATAGCTTTGCTTATAGTGGTAGAATACCCAAATCATTTATGTAAACGTTAAATAAAATTGGCCCCAGAGTGCTACCTTGTGGTACACCACATTCGTCTTTAGCTGTACTACTTATATTATTCATACATTTAACCATCTGTTGTCTTTCATTAAGTAGTTCTGAAAAAAAGTTAAAGAACTCTCCCATGAAACCTAATCTGTAAAGCTTATCAAGTAACAAAGAATGATAAATGGTATCAAAAGCCTTCGATAGATCTATAAAATGTGCTGGAGCAATCTCGTTATTGTCTAGTGCTTCGTTAACACAGTCGGAAAAATCTTCTAAAAGTGTAAGAGTACTTTTTTGCTGTCGAAAACCATATTGTGTGCTTGAAAATAAATTAAATTAATAACAAAAACTGGTCATTGTTAGTTGCACCCACTTTTCGATTATATTATCTAATGCAGGTAGAATGGAGATGTGCCTGTAGCTCTCCAATTCCAGTTTTTTACCCTTTTTATACAGTGGACGTATAATATATATCTTCAAGCCCTTATAAACTCTTTCGGTATGAAAGGTGTCATTCGCGATTTTGAACTTCAAATTTTTTTGCGAAAGAGTTACACATAAAAGGCACCATGGACATCACATCTTCCGTCTTTCAACAAACGATGAATCGCCGACGCTCGCAAACAGAAGGTTGCGATGCTGCGCAAACGGTTTTTTGAAAGATGCTGCGTAGGGTACTCCGGGCGCAACGGCTTCGCAGCCGTTCGAAGAAAAAAGGATTCTCGACGACGAAGTAGCGTCTTGCATCTTCAGTAAGCTAACGGTGTGTGTTTTTCCGCTAAATTTAGTGGGAAAACATGAACGAAATTAGTTTTACTGCTAGATTTAGTGGGAATATTGACGTAACGTGACATAAGCACTATTTCAATTTCCCGCAAAATTTAGCAGGGCGACTACACCGATGCCGAAGGCAACGCCGATACCGCTTAACGCGGAAACGGGCGCCTAAGAGCTGCGACCTAAAATCCATTATTTGATTAACTCTCTTTCCGATCTTATGCACTTCGCCATATTGGTACACGCCAAACAAACAACCAAACTTAATTTGTCTTTCAATCTTCAAAATGAGTAATTGATTAATTGGTCCAAATATCTGGAATAACTTCACTTTAACGATGTTAACAATAGTTAACCAATTACATGTGACTCATGCATTATAGATAAATCAACTAGTGTCTTCGCGAGTACATATAACGTTTTGCTTGAATGTCCGAAACGGGCCTTAATATCATTTTCAGGGGATAGATTTTCACCCATATATGTCGTAAACGGGCTATATATGGCAGTGTTGAAACTTTTATATAGCAATATATTGCCGTATTTGCACGCGTATATTGGTATGGCCGTATTTGCACGCAAATATGGCGATATATGGCCCTATTTACGGACTTCTATGGCCATTTATGCAAGTATTTGCCCACTTAAATGACAATATGTGGCCGTATCTGCTCCCATATATGGCGGTATATGGCCATATTATCATATATGGCGAAATATAAAATATATCAGGGCCATATATAACATTTTTGTATGGGTGGCTCGGAGAGATCCGCGTATTCAGCCAGGATAGCAGGTAGGTCGTTTTCCCTTATTGACGCTGGTCTCGATTCCCCCGGCGACGTCTCGTAGCCAAAGTGAAGCACAGGGACACCACAAGCTCCCATGTCACGGATTAAATCCCGGCCGCACAACGACGCTCCAGCGCAGCTCAACACGATCAGTTTACCGCCGACCGTCTTCCCTTCGTAGGTGACTTCCCAGTTCAACTCGCCAAGGACAGGTGGTTTCCCCTGAAAACGTGTCAGCCGAACTGCAGTCTTCTTGAGCTTTGGCCATGATTTCTTCAACCTCTTGTAAATGTCCTGTGATACGACGCTGACCGGTGAAGCGCTGTTGACTTGCATGACGAGCGGCACGCCTCCCCAGACGGACTTCTGGTGTACGTGTTCCAAAAACCCAACGATGTTGCTATCCGTGAATCTGCAGTCTAAGATCAGTAGTTGGCTTTCGTAGGTCTCCGATGAACTTGTCAGTTCTTCCAAGGCATTGGACGTCTTGCCGTAGCGCGCCTTGTTGCAGGTCCTTCTCGGTTCTTGCGTTTTTCGGTCAGGGCACTGTCGTGCCAAATGACCATGCTTCCCGCAGCTGAAGCACTCGGTCGATCCGAATTTGCACAAGTCCGCTGTATGGGACCCTGCTCCACACCTTCGACAGGAACCTGTAGGACATGCATTCCTCTGTTGTCGAAAACCTTTGTTGGACCTCTTCCCGTGACGACTATCAGTGGTGACTGCGTCGACTTCGGTCCCCGTGGTTTGTGGTAGCTTTATAACTCCGAGGTTACTGGCGGCCGCTTCAGAAGCCAAGGCGATGGCTTCTACTTCCTTCAGAGTCACCTCGCGTAGAACCAAGAATAGCTTGCGCAAGTCTTCACTCCACATTCCGAAAACCAGCCGGTCGCGTAGCATCCGATCCAGCATCGTTCCGAAATTACACATCTCCGCTTGTCGTCGAAGCTCCACGAGGAATGTCTGCACGGTTTCATCTTTGTTTCGGTGCCTGCCGAAGAATTTGAATTTTCGACGATTTCATTGGGTGCCGGTGAGAAATAGTCGCCCAGAGTCTTGACTACTTCTCCGTACGATAGCTCGTTAACGGCGTTCGGTGCGCAGGATGCTTCCAACACTTCAATTGTCCTCGTACATAGAGCCGAGAGAAGAAGGGCTCGTTTCTTTCCAAGGTCGGTCTCGGCGTCACCCTCGAAAAACGTCTGGATCCGAATTCGGTAGGCAGGCCACTTATCTGTTTTGTAATTAAAATGGACAACCATGTAGGCCATTCTGACGGCTGTTCTGCTTGCGTTGCCTCCCTGCGCGCTATCGGAATCCGATGCCGAAGTGCCTGCCTTTTGTAGGTGCAAACACTTCTTCCTCGTTGCCACTGATATAAAGTGGACACGACCGACCCGTGTAGCAGCATGATTACAACTGAAGGTTTATTGCCAGAACGGACTTGAATAAAAGAAGAAAACAAAATAGAAAGAAACACCGACACGTGCGAGTGGTGCTGGAAGTGCTCGTTCCATCACATCGCTGCAATTACTTTCTTGCCGCATCGTCAGTTCCCAACACTATGGGAAAAAAAATATGACATTTTTTCCCATAAGAAATTAGGCTAACAGAACCTCAGAACCACCACAAGTACCACCACACATAAACCGACGACGTCTCACGTGGAACGACACAAAAACAGAACTGCATTTAATTTTTTTTTATTATACGCTTAAAGCGAGGGGGGATGTAAAAAAATTATCAATTAAAATAGAAACGTAAAACAAATGTTAAAAAAAGTGACGACACGTCTCCCTCATGCTTGGTCCTGGACAACTTCTGGCCTCGCTCCTCGCTCCTCCACTCGCTGGCAAGTTCTTGATCATCCTCCTGAAAAGGCAAAGAAAACAATACCTGAAATCAAAACATCCTAATGGAATATTATTGTAAACCTATCAAATAAACACGCGTATTCTGCTTGCCTTTACGAATTACGAATTCGCACATGTTAGTTACACTCCACTGGAGAATGAAAAGGTCTCTAAAGTGGACTTCTAAGAAATGCCGTTTCTGTAATTTCATGTCAACATACAGAACCAAGTCTAGTGGTTATTGGCAATTTCGGGCAACTACCGTAAATACCGTTGTAACTTCGCAGGTGGTAATAACAACTCCTAAAGCACACAACTATAACACATGGGGGCACATCATCGTGTGGGTTAAGCTACGTCTGCTCGTGCATGTAGGCTTTATTTTGAGTAATATTAAAGGGCGTTTTCAGATAAGAGCGAGCAACTGTGTCCGGTGAACGTTCTTAATTTCGATTAAAAAAACATTTTGCTGGCTTCATTCCGAGGAGAATAAAAGCAATCCTTGTTGTGGGAAAAAAAGTGTCGTTGCGCAAAACATTTGTAAGCACCCTCTCAGCCACGTGCGCGTTTGACGTATCGTGCGATGTTGGCATTTCAGGCGGCTTCCCCCCAAAAAACTGTTCCGACTGCGGGTACAGAAATATTTACTGACAAATTAGGTATACACCAACTCATGTTTACAAACAAACCGGAGCGCCCCTAGCGGACGCCACCGGCGCCGCGCACGCGCGGTGGACGGTGGGCAAGAAGCCCGCCGTCGCCCATAAACATACCATTGAATTGCGTTGTTGTCGGGGTCGGTGGGAGTCCCCGTGCTCTTTTTCGCGTTGGAATTGTTGATTTTACGTCCTCCTAACAATGCCTGACTACTTGAGTGGCTTCAGCAAAATTAACGAGGCAAAACTTTGCGTGAAGAATGTGACATGCGGCGATTCATTTCACGTGGACGCCGCAGAATGGGCGCTAAAGTCTGACTCCCACGATGAGATTCTGCTCGCTATTTTCAGTCGCGACTTTGCTCGGACTGCAAAAGCGTGGACCGTAGCTGAGATAGTGGACGTCGACACTGAGAACCGCAAGTAGAATCGGACATTACAAGTCGGTGATGGCCACTGGTAACAATGATCAACATATCTTCTTGTATCTGTTTACACTTAGCCTACTTACCACAACCAACCTTCAAAAGTGTTTTGAGGCCTGCACTTAGTTCTTACCGCAATTACCGGGTCAACGTTTGATCTATGGGTCGCTGTCGTTTGAACGAGCTGACGACACAAAACAGCCAAGTTTGAAAGAGCAGACGACAGTTGGAACACATGCGCAATGGGGTACGGGCAAGAAGCACCGCGTCCCGCGTCAACAAACCATTCGAATGTCACGTTGTCGGCGTCTGTGTGAGTCTGCATACTCTTTTTCGCGTTGGAATTATCGATTCTACGTCCTCATCGCAATGTCTTACCACTTTAATCGCCTGAGCGAAATTATCAAGGCTCGTTACCGCGCTAAACTTTCCGTAAATAAGTTGACGTGCGGCGATTCATTCGCATGAACGCCGCAGAATGAACGCCAAAACCATGATCAGATTCTTCTAGCTATTTTCGGTCGCGACGTAGCTCGTGCTGCAAAAGTGTAAAAGGTAGCGGCGATGATCGACGTCAACACTGAAAATCGGAAGCGGGAAGAGACGAAGCGCAACAAGTCGGTGATGGCCACCGGTACCAATGATCAACATATTGTATCTACTGTTTCCAGCGAGCCTACTTAAGTCTTTTGAGGCCTGCAATTACTTCTTATTGCAATCACCGGGTCAAAGTTTGGTCTACGGGTCGCTTTTGTTTGAACGAGCAGACGACAAAAAGCAGACAAGTTTGAAAGAGCAGACGAAAGTTCGAACGATCAGGCGGCCGTGTGAATTTGAAGACGCACTGAACCCGTGGGTGGTCCGGACAACTTAACGGTTTTCTCTCGTTCATGTTGGAACAAAGCAAATACATCTGGCGACCAAAAAGTGTTGCCCGCACACGCAATCGTAGTTCGACAGCGTCTGGTTCGCCCTTTTCACGGCTACTATCCAAGTTCTCGGACGAGCGGAGGGGGCAAAAACACATGAAAACTGATCTTCAAACCTTTCCAGACTCTCTCGGTACAGCCCCCGTCGCAGCATTCTGACGAGAAGGCAGGTTTTTTGTCTCATTTCTTCCAAAGGAACACGGGAATGCATGTCTGGCACGGCGACTTCTGCCCACTGCTCCAGACCAGAAGTGCGTCCGGCGCACTTCCGGTCTGGTGCGGTGGGCAGAAGTCGCCGTGCCAGAATTGCATTCCCGTGTTACTTTGGAAGACGGAGAGTTGAGGAGAGTTGAGTTCGTGTATAGGAAGGATTGACAAAGCGTATTAATCACTAAGTATTCGGGTCGTCATTTTGATGAACAAAATCACAAATACGACACATTGCGTAATAACGTTCTAGATTAAAGATTGTTTTCTTCGTACCTATACAAGCTAACATCTTCAAAATTTGTCATTGTGTTGCTTTTTATATAGTTCATCTGTGAATAAAATATAGCTGTCCTCACTTGCGGGAGGTATCTATAAAAAGTGCTCACACAGGGGCATTTAACTACAACTGCATTTGTTTGAAAATCATTTCAAAAAAGGCCAGTTTAAATTTTCTTTAAACTCTTCGAACTTGAGATTCATAATATGTACTAACAGAATCTGCAAGAACATAATGCAACATTTGTGTGGCTTTGAAGTTATAAAGCGAGAAATATGACCCAATTGACTCTAACGCGGTTGATATAAATAAGGTGTTCACAGACTCATTTTTCACAATTTCAATATTATTAAAAAGCGTAAAAATCACACAGGGTGGTCTGGAGATTACAAACTGACAGCACAGAGGTCGACGGTAATTTTGAAGGAAAGATTCTTAATACATTTTTGTGCAACCGGCCCAACAAGGCCCATGAGCCGGAGTGATCTAGACGTACCTCCCTGTAAAAGGCTTCGCGGAGCTTGTTTCAACAGCAGGCGTGTAGCGTCTCCGTCTACGGGACGTAAAGGAAGCAACAGGAGTGACTTTGCAAACAGATCAGCCTGCAACCTTGGCGGTAACATGATATAGGAGGCAGGGCGCGGCAGAGCCTGAGCCTGCGCCGCCTATGAGCGATAATAGATCCTCCGCCGTAAAAAACGCACAACGCAAAAAAAAGAAAAAAGAAAAAAAAACATACTGAAAAAAAAAAAGAATTGCGATTGAATAAGATTGTTTGTAACTTAATTTATATGAAAACGGTTTCGAGAATCATGAAATTCAATTTGGGTATGCTCATGTCACCTACGTCAGTGATAGTGCAGCAAGTCACTTTAGGGACAAGCGCCAACTACACGACCTGCAGAGCAACAAGTACACGTCAGTGAAGTGAATTTTTTTCGCAACTTTACATGGCAAGAGTGCTTCCGATGGAATTGGGGGTCGTGTCAAGCACCAGGCAACGTTGTACCAGCTCCGACGGCCCACCAGGTCGGTGATCAAGTTGGCGTCAGAGATGGTTGCGCCACGGAACACCAAACTGCCGAACGTGAAACTAATCCATCTCCCAAAAGCTGACGTCAAAGCGTTTAAGGACATGAAAGCAAAGGACTGGGACTCTGTTTCAGTTGTGAGTGGAATTCAGTCCTGTCACTAGTGGTAGTGCACGCGGTCTGACATTTCGCAACCACAGCTGTTTTAGCAAGAGCAGTAGGCGCAGAAAAGATATATATTTGAAAGTAAAGTCTCCCATCGCTGCAACTAGCAGATCGATTTAGCGAGCTTGCGGTGCCAGTGATAAGAAACGAACAGTAATGACTAAAGGCAGAATTAGAGAAAAATGTTCCTACTTGGAGTGCTTGGTCTGAAGAATGCCCGCCTGAACCTGACGCTCTGCCTATCATATTTGAAGGTGAGAAGGCAATACAGCGCATTAAAAGACACAGGCAAAGTAGAGCTACGCTGGGTAGGAATTGTAGGTTGACTGTTCTAGAAAAAAACATTACGTTATTGGTTGTGGGCAGTGCACTGGAAAAGCCGCGATCATGTAGCCGAATAGCGGGCTTCCAGTGGCTCGTTCGTACTAACTGCCTTATAAGTGTCTCTTAGTTTTTTAAAGTTTTTTTTTATACCGTTGAAGTGACCATATTTTACGAACCGACTCCGTTACCCGCGATTGTTTTATTTTGTTGTTTTACTCTACTCCGCTAGCCAGTCACTTAGGAAACTTTCACGGTGCAACTTGTTTTAGCATGGACTTTTTTACAGTGGCTGATACTATTTGAGGTCAGATATTTTATAAACGTTAACACATTTTGTTAAATTTTCCTTCCATGGGTATAGATATTTTCTTCGGGAGCCCTTTTTGGAGATACAAAGCAAATGACATTGCGTTGGGAATAGAGTTCTTCTTTTACAAGTTACGCTGTGTGTTCCGTATGAAGTTCGTGTGTCACGCAATGGTTATTCGTGCCGTGAAAATGGAATCTGACGATGATAATGCTTCGTGGTGGTCTAACGCAGTCAACAAATCTCGGGAGATGTGTGTAACTGTAGAGGCCCAGGAAGCTTTCACAAATTCGACATCAAACTGAGGTCTGTCGGGCACACATTTTCGAATTTTCTAAAGCAGTAATTGCGTAATAAATGGTGGCAAACAAATGAAACTCAACAGAGGGTACCGCTATCAAAAGGATGGACCTTCTGCGTAGCTTTTCCCGCAATAGGACATCGCGCTGGCAGAGCGACGACCCTGTCTCATCGCCCGTCTAATCTCAGGGGAAGCTCTCCCGTCTCTCCAAGCCGATTACACTAACCCTCCAACCCTCTTCAGCCTTGGTGAATAGGGAATTGTAGTAGATCGTTTTTCTCCTCCACTACGTTATTTCCGAAGAAAACGCCGCAGCTGCGCATGCGCGCCCCCAGCCTTGTCTGCATAGTTCAAGGTCTTGTGGCGGATTACGGAGCGCTATCCGGGTGCTTAGCGGGCTGCGGGAACGGTCTACTACAATTCCCTAATAGGGACTTTTCGTAGACCGCGTTTCCCCCTCCGCTAAGCCTTCCGCAACGAAGAAGTTGCTGCTGCGCCTGCGCGCCGATAGCTTTGACTGTGGAGTTCCGGGTGTCGTAGCGGGTTGCGGAGGGTGTTGCGGGACGGCGAACACGATCTACGAAAACTCCCTATTAATGCAGCCTGAACGCTCACGTGTCCAGCAGCTGCCAAGCATAAGGGACGGTGTGTGCCGAATTTTTGTCCTCTGACAGCCGTTTTGGGGAGGGTCACGCTACTCCGGCCTGACGCGTGTCGTCAATAGCAGCCCGTTTATTGTCAACGTTTTGCGTTACAATAGGTAGCAGTCAGTATGTTCCAGATCGTATGAAGCCGGCCATTTCGCGTCGGCGCAAGCGGTTCCTCGTGTCTCCCTTTATTACTACGGAGGGTCAATTTTCTGCTTTGTGAACGGCTGGAACGGGTACTTTGTCATGTAGAAGGTCCTCTGGACACATTTCTCTTTCGGATTCACGGAAAGATTTCGAAAAATCAGAAGCCCAACCCAATTTACAAGAGCAGAAGCCTCGGCGCCCGACCGCTTGAGCAATCGACGGAGCAAGCGAAAATCAAGATGGACCTTTTATGACGTAGTGGCACGTCACGCGTGACTAGCCAATGGCGTGCCGCTGCGCCTATCGTTTCTGGTTTCTTCGGTTCTTTTTTTTTCGCGTTTAGCGACTATTTTGAGTCAAACGGTCGAGATATTTAGACTCCGCACGCACAAACACGTCATAACCAACCATTAGCTCGTTTCTTTTTTCGCAAAGCTCTTCAGCTTTCCTTTAACCAAATTTTAACGTAGAATCTGAAAAATTTTTCGACGAAAAATTGCTTTTTTTACGTACGCGTACGCGTCCTCCTCTTGCTTTTTCAGTTTGGCGTACGAGTAGCGGAACCGTTTTCCGAGGTGGAACGTGTATTCGTTGGACGCGAGTTTTGGGAAGCTTTCCATTGCAGCGCCTAAAAAAGAGTGTAAAAAAGACCACTTTAACATCCGTGCTTTTCCAAAACATTCGATTCTGCCTGATATCGATAGAAGCAGCTTACATTTTAAAAGTAAGAACAACAGTCTGCTGGGTTTACGCATTTTCTTTTATATATCTTTAAACCTGGCCCAGCGAGGAGTGTGTGTACATTGCAGCCTGAGAACAAAATATGCGAGCTCATTTTGTGACATTATGATTAAAGCCTACTTTTAAAGCTATGCAAGATCATACTCGCGGAGATGTTCACTCTACAGAAAACACATATTTCTTTTTTTTTTTTTGGAATAGCTAGCAATATAAGGACATTTTGCTCTGGAACTAAAAAAAAAAGTAAAGCCAATATTTCATTCACTACATAACAATATTAAAACCTAATAAGCATGCTAAACTAAGCAGAAAAAGCGTGACAACTAACATTTCCAAAAAAATAAAGGTTCTGGATTTTAATATTTGACTAAAATTAATACTTTAATGACTATGCTGTTTTTCTCATCCATTTCTCTCCTTTGCATTGGTGCTTAGAGCAACATAATTTTAATGCAGGGTTTACCTTCCTAACATTAAATTGTCTGTGATAAAATGTGAAACTTCAATTGTATTTCCTTAAATATATCTGACAATTTTCTTAACTCTTATTTATGGCTTGATACATATGAAGAGCGTTATAAATAATTATTCGCTTTCAAATTCCAAATGAACATTCAATGCGTTCAATAGTATTTAATGGGGGGTACTTACGACGGACGGCTTTCTCGGGTAGCGTTCCTTCGAAAACAAGCTTCCCCTTTGATCTCTTGCTGTAGTTGTAGGTGGCAGCTAACTCCAACGAGAACAAACCAGTCATCATGCCGTTAGCCTTATCTTCAAGTGTTGAGCCGTCAAAGCTCTTGAGGTGGGAGACCTACACGTAGAATTGCCATGAGAATACCTTTAAGGAGTGCAAAATACAGGTTACGGGACACAGATGAGAATCGGGATGTTCACATTGCAAAACTAAACTACACATTATATAAAATTTAGAGCTTACCCAAACTGGGACCACATGCCGACGTGTCAGAGATTATGGCTAAATAATAAAAGGTGAGAAGCAAAAAACGAAACACCCGAGTTTGACTGCGGAAAAAAGATTTCCAACCGCAAAAGTAGATAAACCGCATATGCGTCCTGCTAGGTCTGTCGCATAGTTCCACTCTACACATTCACGTGCGTTCTTTCACATCAAAACTTTAAAAACCAATCACAGCAATCAGCGGAACGTGCTCGGTGAATAACGGGGACAAACATGTGTTTAGACCCAGAAATTAAGTCTTCGTTAGGACACTGAGCGTGACGTTTCACGTTGCTCAGTGTCCCAGCGCCGACTTTATTTTTAGGACTAGACACCCGTTCTACCCCATGATTCACCGAGCTCGCTCCACAGATTGTTGTAATTGGGTATTAATTGTGTGATGGGAAAGTAAACACACGGGCATTTTTAGAGTGCACATGCAATCCTCGTTTTCGATCGCCGTATTAAGTCACTCGAGGTAAACTTCCTCGATGAAATTGAAGCTCGAGGTTGCCAGTGGAACCGTAGAATAACGGGTTGTCTCAAGATTGAAAGCAGTTAAACAATAAAAATGCGGCGAAACTAAGAACTTTCAGCCTTTCCACTCTGGTGAAGAAGAAAGAGCAGCGGAGCTGTAGCTTCTGTTCTCGAAGGTGGCTTTCCAGGCGAGCGATCTGCTCTTCTTTAGCAAGGGAATTTGAAGCGCAAGACGCAGTTGAACTTCAGGGGATAGCGACTTCGCGCCGGTTGCAAAATCATTCGCGCTGCTGCGCACATCGCCGCTCGTTCCACTCCCGCCCTTCGCTCCTCCGAAGAAAGGTTGCCGCCATCTATGAGCGACGGCGGCAACCAGTTGTCTGGTTGCCGCCGTTGCTGATAGATGCCGTAAAGGACGTTTTTTACAGCTCCGCTGTAAAAAAAGCGTCCTTACCGGCGCTGACAATTAGGTTCGCCAATGTACCAAAGCAGTTGCGAGACTCTGGACCACGCGAAAATGCCACCATTGCGCTAATATCCGAGATATTAACAAGATAAGAGCTAACTATGATAGAATTTTTTTAATCGAATAGACATATTGCTAAATTACCCAAACACGAAGGAGAATGCAGGGAATGATGTTCCACGCGCCGCACACGCACGCCTTCTCCATATAAAAGATTCGAAGTAAATAACCAAAAGAAAGCGTTGATCAACGCGCTTTAGAGCCGTTACTGCTGCAGACGCCGGCACGTGCGTCGCGTGGAACATCATTCCCTGCATTCTCTTCGATGCTAGGGTCATTTAGCAATAGGTCTATTTCTCTCAGTGGCGTAGGCAGAGGGGGGGGGGGGTTTGAGGGGTCGACCCCCCCCCCCCCGCCCTCCGAAATGCCAAAGCTACCCCCCCCCCCCCCCCCCCTTCCCACCAACACCAACGGGCACGCTTGTCCCCTGCTCACGCAGTCGGTTTTGCACGAGGCACGAAGCAACGGGGCAGCACGGACCATCTCCGAATTAGGCTTTCGGGAAAATTGTCTGTAGGGTAGAAAATGTTCAAATTAGTAAAATATTCAATATAGCTTAATTCGTGTTTATTTGATGGAATGCGGTACTTGATCTCAGATACATAGAGAACGGATATTTCGAAACTTTTGTGGGGTGAAGAATGGGAATTTTAAGGCAAAGTATAACAAACTATAATCACCGAAATACGTAGTTAAATCAAACCAAAGTGAACATAATAAAACGAACACACGGTGATAGTGATGTAAGGAATAATAAATGAATTGTAAAGAACAATTGCACGGTAAGCAACGGGTGGCACTGCGCTCACGCACACCTCTTGTGATCAGAATTACGTGCTTTGGACTAGAAATTAGCGCGAGGAGAAAGGTAACTTTGACTACTTATATTAGAAAGCAATTTACAGGTTCTTGTTATCATTCCACTTATGTCAAGCGCCTACTATTAAAATGCTGCCGCCTGCGTTCACGGGAAAAAAATATCTCGAATAGGGTGCCTTCATGTGCGCTTTGCTTGGGGTGAGGACATCTGGCCATTTTGTTTCGAACGCTTATTTTTATTTTTCCTCCGAAGCACGTGAAAGAGCGTGTCCCTGCACGAGCTCGTAACGCTGACCGTGCTACGGCGACATTCTGTTTCCGGCGATTTTTTTTGTGTATTTTCCCTGTGAGCGCGTGCTGTTGGCAGTGGGTCCTACGAACGATGGCATCACCTTAATCGGAAAGCCATTGAGGCACTCTAATCCCGGACGCCCTCCTCTTGAACTTTAATGTCGCGGTGAACATTCAAAAGCGCAATACTTCGTTTCAGTGTACGTTGAGACGCCGCCAATGCTACAAGCGCGAGCTCCGGGCTTTCAACGTCCCTGCCAAGCAGGCGCGCTCGTGCAGTGCAAGCACTGTTCCGGGCCACATGTTCACGCCTGTAGCATCGGCTGCGTCTGGACTTCAGCTGAAACGAAGTATATATCGAGCAGTCGCTCATTTGAAGTGGACGCTCTCAGGTATATTTTCAACCGTCGTTGTGAAGAGAACGAGCACTCAGCCCCCGCAGTTGTTACGGGCAGAGTCGCTAGGATCTTGAGGAGACAATGAACGCTCTGAAATAGGGCCTCCGGACAGAGGGCGACCGCCTGTATACCGCAGACGTGACGGGCGCTTCACGTTTCTCCCTCTTGCATTGGACGCCTAAAATTTCCCTATTTTTAGCGAAGTTGCCCTCACTTTCCGAAAATCGTCGCTCACAGATGCGATCAAGTTCGTCTTGCTTTCTGCTTTGTATATCGAGGTGGCATCAGACGCAATTCCTTATAAGTTATTAGGTTAATCTCTTCGTTGCACGGAACATCAGAAACTCCGAAGAGACAAGCCTTCATATTCTTACTACGCATAGGCGCAAGGCTAGTCAAGTTTCTTTCCACGTTCGGCGTGTAGGTTCTTTGTGGTGCGTCATGTAATTTCTCCGAGTGACGGACGACGAGTTCGGACTGATGACTTGTCATCCCCCCGAGGATATTCTGCTGCTGCATTTCGACACGCTGCAAAATAAAACGGCCTAGAAAAGATAACACTCTATTTCCATCGGCATCTGGTTCTGAAGCACAAATTCGTTATACCTTGAATCGATAATAAATTTTGGTTTGTGATGGTTCAGAATTACCTTCCCTCTAAATATGGGCCCTAGTGTTTGTGTGTGGTCGGTTGCTCCAATTTTGTAGTGTCGAGATTTTTGTTTGTTGTTGTTGTGAACGTATAGCTATATTTTTTTTTTCTGGCCTTCACAAGATGGTATTGCAGTGCTACCTCGTAAAGCGGAGGGAGTTGTGTGCTGTGAGGAAGCTTTTAAGGTTGGTGGGCCGCAATTACGACGAAAGTAGAACAGTGAGCCACCACGCCCCTATTCCTGTAAATGAAGCCTGCTCCGTTTTGAAAAATGACAATACAGCTTTATCCGATTTATCTTAACAGCGCCTGTCTAATCTTTGCCTAAGCGTCCGTGTCGGCGAGCTCACTCTGGGTCATTGAGGGGGGGGGGGGGCGGGGGGGCGGGGGGGGGGGGGGGGGGCATGCCGATGAACACTTCCCGAAAGAAAAGTTTGGCTACGCCACTGATTTCTCTAGTTATATCCGTTTGGGGGAAAGGGGGTGTACAAATGACGTTTGTCAGGTACACAGCTGCTATGCTACAGCAGTTGTAATTGGACGCAACATTTGCGTCCAGTTGAGAAAGTTTAACTGAGAAAGGGCAAATTTGACGACAAATATCTCAATACAGGTTGCTTCTATATTAACTGAGTCCTTGAGCCTTCCGTGGCAGTTGACTTCAAATCGTTATTGCAACGTAACCATAAAACCTCGACTTAAAAACTGAATTGGCACATTTTGTTAATTAGTTGCTTGATCGTGACGATTAATTCATCACCTAATGTCCCCCAAGCCCGATAAACACCGAAAGAAAATAGTCTCTTTGTAAAACGCACTCCCTATTCCTAAAAGCTTGAACTGACAAAAAGTAAAAAAAAAAAAAAAGCAAAAAAACACCCGGTATATTGATAAGATGACATTTTGTTTTAATTCAGTCTTACTAATATGGGGTTTTCTCAATTTGCTTAGGTTTCAAACATTCGAAACAATTGGTTTGAAAATCACTCAACTTTGATTGATTTTTTTACTTTTGGAAGCTATCATTCACTCTAATAAAACTGTAAACCAACCATGCGTTCAAAATTGTTTTCGTCTGCTAGAAACGTCTCCAGGGCTGCAAAATCCTCCGCTCTCTTCATCGGCAGTTTGGGTAGCACAGGAGGGGGCAGAGAAGCAGCAGGGGGTGCAGCATACACCTTTTTAAGGCCGTGGATTTCTTGGCGAAGGCCTCCCACCTCTTCGCGGAGGAGTTCAAGTTCTTGAGAAACTTTCTCGAAGGAACCTAGAGAAACGTTTTTTGGAAAGAACTTCAGAATGCAAAGCTTACTGGGTCACTGGATACTATTTTGTTCTGCAGTTGTCAGGCTGCAGAACACCAAAATATTGCTTAAGAGTCAAGTTAACGACACGCACATTGTTATACTTTAGCTCATCCTGTGATGGACTACGAGCCAAAGCTAAGGGCCGTGAAATCATATCACGAGCAAAAAAAAAAGACATGGTGTATTGCTCTGACTTAATCCTCGCGTATAAGCGATATACTACGTGGTTTCAAAGTATATTGTCATTGAACCTGGTGTGGTTCGCCGTAGGGTAATACAAAGTATAGCTTTGGAAAAACTCTTATCAAATAGAATCGAAGAATGATAAACAAAATTAATTTGCGGCAATAAAAACGCCTGAGATCTTTGATGTTCCGAAAAGTAGAGAGTTGTGGCATTCCGTGATTCGTGGGATCCGAGACCGCAGTATCTTTACGTGCTCGCGCTGAGGAGCGTGCTTTGAGGTCTAGTATGAGCTCACGGTAGCGCGCCGGCAGATCACGCACGTAGTATATGCTAAAACTCTGTGATAGAGGATTTCAGCATACCTCTTCCATGATCCGCCACTGCGCTACTTTGAGCTCGCACTACACTTGCAAGCATACGGGCATCGTACACTATAAAAAAAAATCCGTATGTCTACTTTTCCGCAGAACACTCGGAGAGCCAATCACTGCAGTTTGCGGAGGCAGCTCAGCAAGTGACAATGATGAAACATATTTTTGGACCAAAAAACGAAGTATGCGATGTAACATTAGGCAATGCAAAACATCACGCTTGCATTGCTTAATGCTACATCGGAGTCTTCGTTTTTGGTCTAAACATATGTTTCGGCATTGCCATGTGCCGAGCTGCATGCCTCTGCAAGCTGCATTGATTGGCTCTCCGAGTGTTCTGCGGGAAAGCAGATGCACGGGATTTTCTTTTTTTTATTTATTTTTGAGTAGCGCCCCCGGAGCGCTACTATGCCGTGGAAGCCAGTAGTAGTGCCGGGCCGAAATTCTCCAATACTGAACGCATATGATTGAATTGCCAGGGAGACGCGGTTCTATAGAAGTATAATCGAACTAAATAGAAGTCAGGTACATCTGCCAAAAAACGTTTTGACTATAATTTAGAGCCTAATTCCTATTTTAAATTTTTATGGAATTTGTGTTTGCTTTGCAGCGTTTTGGCACCATTAGATAGATTTTGTAGCAGATTAAAAATTCTTCCAGCGGGTATTATTGGAGTGCTTTATCTGACGCTTGATAAGTCGACAATTTTCAAAAGATTGGTGTTATAAATTACAATAACTTTCATATTCAATCGTACATACACAATGTCGTAGAAACATGCATCGTAAACAAAATCGTATAAAAATAAATTAGGCTAATTGCGAAGCGATCCGACTGCCTTCTTTGTCAAAACATCCTAGTCAGGCCCGTGGGTAGAACGCCAGAATGTGAATAGGCACTTTCAATTTACCTGCACGCCCTGCACCGGTCCAGAATAGTAAAGGACGGTGGACTTCCGGTATGTATTGCGAAAAGGGCGGCTGTACACCTCTCTTTACTTTTCTGCACCGGTGCGGGGGGCGAAGGTAAATTGAACAGGTCATGATATCAAACGTATATTTTCAAATTCAAATGACTGTGCTATCAGCGCACCTGCCAACAAAAAAAGTACGCCATCTGTAGAATTAAAACGTAAGGAGTGTGTTGGTAGATTTATAAAAAAACAGAAAGAATTAACACAAAGATGACAAGAACACAGCCAGGTACGTTCAACTCACAACAAACATTTATTCAGGCGCGTACGTTCGGCCGCTCACCGGTTTCCCATCCCGGAGAGGACGAGGGAGGGAAGGGGTGAAGGAAATTCGAAGGAAGAATAGGAAAGAGGGGGTGGGGATCGAAAGCGGAAAGATACGAAAGGACCCGACAGGGCGGGAGGAACGAGTTCCCAGACAGCGCGCGACGTCGGGCCAACATTGGCATTTAATTGGCAAACATTTGTCCAATGTTGGGCCAATGTGGCCATCGTAAACCAATATTGGTGGCACGCTGGAATATACTGGCCAACATTGACCTCACTTGACCAATGGCTCACCAACGTTGGTAATGGATTGGCTTAGGCTGGCCAACATTGGCCTATCTCAGCCAATGGCTTACCAACGTTGGCAATCGATTGGCTTAGACTGGCCAACATTGGCCAATCTCAGCCAACGGCGTAGCAACGTTGGCAATCGGTTGGCTTAGGTTGGCCAACATTGGCCTGTCTTAGCGAATTGGTTACGAACATTGGTAATCAATTGGCTTAGGCTGGCCAACATTGGTCTATGTTAGCCGTTGAGTTGCCAGCATTGGTTATCGATTGGCTAAGACAGGCCAATGTCGGCCAGCCTAAGCCAATCGATTACCAACATTGGTAATCGATTGACTTAGGCTGGGCAACATTGGCCTGTCTTAGCCAGTGGCTTACCAATGTTATAATTAATTGGCTTAGTTCTTTTAATGTCCTGATCGCGCACGCTGAGAACAGTGTAGCTATGGCTCGGGGGGGGGGGGGGGCGACGATTCATTCTGTTTTCACACGCAGAGCAAGTTAGCAACTGAATTAGAACGCTGTATGCATAGCGAGCTGTAGCAATTTTGAACGTCCACGAAGAAAAAAAACGTAGTCGATGACAGGTTAAAAGTAAACGCTGCGGAGGAGGTCGCCTCCTCCCGATCTTTCGATCTACAAATATGGAAAGAGATGGGAGGAGATTCTACCACCTGTTACCGACTATAACTAACACGCGTCTTCCCATAACTGATAGTTATGCTCAGTAAATTCCACACAAAATACAAAATGCACGCTTCTTTCGATTTGTGTATATGTTTATACGGCAAAAAGCGTAGTTCCCCTTCTCTTATGCCCATTTAGCGACGCAGCCGGAAAACCTTTCCAAAGGGGGGGGGGGGGGGGAGAAGGGGGGGAGGGGAGGCAGGGTTTAACTCCGAAAGGTCCACCCGCCTCCCCAGTGCCTAGAACAGGTGTGTATTGTCAGCTGTATGTGATCTTGAACATCTCAAAGCAACCCGCTTTGCAGAGCCGCAAAACACGGCCTACGAAACCGGACAAAATTAAACATAAATAAAAAGCACTAATATTTTTAGCAACAAAATAAAACCTTAAACAAATATCCTGCGATTGATTAAGCAATTACATGTCTTCACGAATAAAAAATCGCGTTGAATTAACATCTCGAACACCCTATGTTTGAGGTAGGAGGTGACATAAAGTTGATGCGCATTTCAGTCTGCAAAGAAAGGTTATCACGCAACATATAACAGAACGAGCTGAGCATTAAGTCTGCTTGCCTAAAAATGGCTTCAAAGTGCGTACAAAATACGGCAACTGCAGTAGTGACTACGGTAGTGACAACGCCCGCAGAAATATAAACTGTAATAGAGCCAATGGGTTACCAATCGATTGGTTTAAGCTGGCCACCAATTGCCTGTCTTAGCCAGTGGCCTACCAACGTTGGTAATTGATTGGCTTAGTCTGGCCAACAGTGGCCTGTCTTAGCCAATGGCTTACCAACATTGGTAATCGATTGGCTTAGGCTGACGAACGTTGGCCTGTCTTAGCCAATGGGTTACAACACTGAAAATGTGTTGGCGCAAGGTATCAGGGTGCCGCGTTTTCTAGAACCGAGCTTTAAAAACGAATGAAGTACTCTAGGCAATGAAGATCACTGTTGCCAGAAGGCGTCTTGATAAAAAGGCTGGTAGGAAGACGCTGTACTTAAATAAGTTATTCATGAATTAAAACTGATTGGCAAACTTTATTAAATACTTATTTGAGGGAAAATGTGTCAATTGAAAAGTTGTATTTTGAATAGATTCTTGATAAAGAAGTTTAGAACATGGTACACCCCAGGCAGTACACTTGTTTAGACTAGCGATGGGGCCAAGCTTTGGCCTTGGCCGTACTAGACTGGACCGGGACTGCCCAGGGAATTTGGTGAACTGCCAGCATGGCGTCTCACTGTATTTCTCGGGCACCGGAAGTACACAGAACTGCGAGGGAAGGGATTTTCTTGGCGTCTTTTGTCTCTTTTCGGTCCCAGCCGACCAGGATAGACAGGCGGGCGGCCACCAGAAATAAAACAAATTTGTTACGCGTCACTAATAATCACTGGCCTCAGGATCCCACGGAACTACAACGGAGTGGTCTTGGGTGGAGTTTATTGGCTTTGCAGGATTCGGTGCGCCAAGAAACTACTGGCGTTGTCACGAAGCTCTCTAGAAAATGAAAGTCTCGAAAATCAAAAGATCAGTTCACGAGTGTAGAGTGCGAGCCGAATGAACGCAATAATAGAGTCAACAAATTAATCTCTCGATGACCATTTACAGCATTCATGTCCCAAATCGCCACATCTCAAACTGGAAAAACCGCGAGATAATTTTTCTCGTTTATTTTTCAACATCACGCATCGTCGCAACGGTTCACGTACTTCGCGGCTACTCTGCTTCAACTTAGTATGAACCGCAGCCCATGCTAGGGCTCTCTTGGCCTATCAGGCGCCAAAAAAGTTGCGATGCTGCGCGGGAGATGCGCCAAGCACTGAAATGGCTCCGTAGACGTTTGCAAGGTCTGAACGATAAAGCAGCCTCTTGTAACACCAGTGAGCTGACGGTGCTCGGAGTTCCTACGCTCACTTTACAGCAGAGTGTGCGCGGTCGGCCAGATCGAGACGCAGTCGGTTCTCATGCCGCGATTGCTGCGCCGTTGCTCTGTCTTGCACCGACATTCGAAACAACTCGCTCGAGGCTGCATGCGGGAAAAAATTTACGAGTCTATAGCGCGATATAGTGTCGCTACAACGTGTAAAAAGTAGTCCTCACCTCGACAAGGGCGCAAGCAGCGACGCTATGTCCGTCGACGCCCACGTCGAGAACGACGAAATATACATTAAAAACTTTTTAAC